AATGTGGCCTTAAGTGGTGTTCTGGCCAACACACCGGGATTTTGTTACATCATTAAAATCTTCAGTATGCCATTAACATGATGCAGGTAAACAAACAGACAGCTGAGAGTTTGAGTCATTTATTTTGGAACAATGACCTCCAGTAAAAATGTGTGATCTATAGTAATCAGATGAGCAGAAACACCCAAATCATTCAGAGACGTGGATTACAGGGATTACATTACATGGATTAAACAGCAGAGATGCACAGTGAAGCACAGCAGGGTCTACATTAGACCTGATCCAAGACCATCCCAGTAAAACCAAAACACCCACCAACAGCTGTGAGAGGGTCCTGGATCAGGTTCAGAGTCTAGACTCATCTTCATCATCAGTCAGCTGAACACAGGAAGCAGCTGCTTTTATAACATCAGACAGAACCAGGACCAGGAACAGGCTCAGTTAGTGGGAACCAGGATACGACCTGAAAGAAGAAGAGACGAGGACACAGTCACCAACAAACACATCATGGACACTGAATTTAAACTGATCAATGCCAATGATTCAGTAAAGTTTTATGTTTCATGTTTTAAAAACCTGTGTTTGAAACATTAATCTATCTAACAGGGGTCTGAAAAACAGCAATGGTCTAAAATTGGGTGAAATGTTAAAACTTCAATATATAAAAAAAAACACTGACGTAAACCAGATCCAAACCAGTTTTAGGTTAATGTAATGTGGTTTTACTTTTGGACTGGTCTAAACTGGTTTCAGGTATGAACTGGTCTGTGAGTGAGAGTCCTGCTCTGACCTCGGGCCTTCCTCTTGTAGTAGATGAATCCAGCCAGAGATAAGATCAGACCCAGGATCAGTCCTGAGGCTCCGATGGCGAGCTTGTTCCTCTCTGACTCAGGCATGGACGAGTCTGAGGAGGGATCTGAGTCACACAGGTGAGAGTCAGACAGGTAGGTATGTACAGGTGTGTACAGGTGTGTACAGGTGTGTAGATACAGACAGGTATTTACCCCAGTCAGTGATCAGAGGTTTCTCCAGGCTGGCGTGCTCCACCTTACAGGAGATCTTCTCCCCAGACCTTCAACACAAACATCAGTGACTCTCAGATCGTAAACTTTTAAACTTTAGTCCAGACTTCATATCAAAAGTCTGTTTCTATGGATTATGATGCTCACCTGGGTGTGTACTCCAGGTGTGAGTGGGTCTGGTAGTACCAATCACCATCTGCCATCTCCTCGGTGGAAGTGACATCAGAGGTGACTTCCTGTCCATCTCTCAGCCAGCTCACTTTGATCTTACTGGGATAGAAGTCATAGACTCTGCAGACCAACATGGCAGGATGCTGACTGGAGAGAGGTGTCATGGAGTGAAGTCTGACATACGGCTTAACTGGAAGACAATATGAGTTTCTGTTATTGTTATTATCACATCATCAGGGATGATTGTATACATGTGCATTAATAAAGATACTGTCAACAGCAGAGTCACATATAACCAGTCTGACATCAGATGATGAATCAGCTGTGAGGAGAAACATCAGCAGGCTGTAAACATCATTTATTTTACGTAACACATGAAGAACTGTATGTGCTGGAAATCTACCAGACTCGAACCTGGATCAGTTTTTATTAATATCCAGCAAAGTGCTGACTCAGAGTGACATCAGTATGAACCATCAGTGAACTGATCCTCCTGCAGATCAGCTGCTGTGGTTTGAAAGTAAAATCTGACACATGGAGACCTGATGATAAACTATCGCTATAGATCATCCACACATAGATGAACCCAGCATGCTTTCACTCTGTTTAATATCAACATCAAACTAAAGGACTGAATCCATAGCTGGTCCCAGTCTGGATTTCTGCTCATCCAGCTGTTTGATTCCTGAACAGAAATTATTAAGTGCAAATGATTTAATATTGATAGATACACTTTTTTCTTTTTACAGTGTTTTTTGTTGTTTGTTTTTTACAACTATCCACAAAATCAAACTCAGAAACACTGCGAGCAGCTGATGAAAGAATGTTTTACACTGGGTGCTGTTTCATTACACTGGGGAAAGCTGGTGATGAAAATCTGTAGGCTGAACAATGATGGTGGAGGAGATCATGATGGTGGTGGTGAGCAAGGCCCTGATGGAGGGGAACTCTGATCAGACTGTACCATACAGAGCCTGAAGGGGTCACTGTGACTGTTTATTAGATCATATTTCTAACCAGTCACACACAGATGGGTCACATAAGAGCTGCTGGAAACCTCTCACACATGCTTCCTTCTCTAAGGTAACACCATCTCACAGAAAGGAAGTTACTGCTTTAAACAGCCTGCTCATCGACACATGGTTCAACACTCTTGATGCATTTAGGTGCAATTGTAAATATAACCATCTAAGACTCTAAAGCAATAAATGTAGAACCAGACAGCTGCTGCTCTCCACAGGAGGTCTGAGCTGGTTCTCCTCATGTTTCTCTGAGCTGCTGCTGCTGGAAGCTGATTTCATCCATAACATGAAGAAACACTTTATAATCTGTCTGTTGTTAATTTAATCAACAGAAAGCTATATTCTGTACACAGGGCACAGGTTGTGTGTGACATACAGAGCTCACTGTCACTTTAAAACAACCACAGCTAACAGAAAGTGCTGTACATCAGAACAAATAATAAAAATACATAAGATATGAATTTAAAAAAATAAAGTTAATTAATTAAAAGAAAAAGCTATGTCTGGCAGTCTGGCTGAAGCTCAGAGCCAAAGAATAAAAATGAGGTTTAAGATGTGTTTTAAAAGTGGACAGTGAAAGGGCCTCTCTCATGTGCACACACACACACACACACACTTTAAATAACAGCAGCTGAGCTCTGTGTTTATCAGTTTGCCTGTCTCACCAGCAGGGAGCGCCACAGACTGAGGTTAGCTATGTGGAGTCACAGTCAGGGCTGTGATCAGTGATTTATTACAGTTATTGATCACCAGAGTCTGACCTGCAGCTGTGAGTCCATCATGAATGATTCAGAGTAACATGAACAGCTGATGATGTCACACAGACCAGCACACTCACCTGATTTAGACAGAGGGTTGCTGTACCAGATACCAATGTTGTGTTGGCAGTACGTCTCCTTCTGAGCTCTCCATGCAGCCATCTGTCCCTTATCTTTGTTCCAGATGTCTGCGTTATACACTCCAAACTTAGTGAATCCAACATACTCCCCCACGCTGCTGCTGAACCGGGCGTACTCGATCTTGTTGTAATAGTAAGAGAGGGTGAACTCGATGTCCTTCAGCTCAGTGGAGTTAAAGTCACAGCGCCCCACATAATACTCCATGAATCCATCTGAGAACAAACAGAACCACACAGAACATCAGACTGTGGCCTGATCCCTGACCAGAGTATTGATCAGTGATCAGTGTATTGATCATACCTGCTGTGCTGAGGCTGATGAAGAGGAGGCTGAGGCAGAGGAAGGATGAAGCCATGTTCCTGAGTTCTCCTGACAAACTGACTCAGTCTGACTGAGAGCTGCTCTAAAAACAGAGGACAGGTCACATGACCACAGCGTCATCTGTTACCAGGAAGAACTCCGTCACACCAGCTCACACTCTTTTTCATTGTGTGTGTGTGTTAGAGTCCATTAAAGCTTTAAAAGCAGACAGCAGCACTCTGAGACATCATCAGCACATTTCCTCCTTGCTGCATTCAAAACCTTCTGTTTTCATTTATATTTCAGTCACAGTCTGCACTCATGGATAAATCTAGAATAATTATCTGCAAACACTAAACCAGCTCCTAACATCAGCACTGCTGTAATAATAATAAAACATCTGTTCATAATTTCCTCCTGTTTATTAATCAATAAAACAATCCACTCTCTTTCAGTACTTTTCAGTCCTGCATCACACTGTTTATACTCACACGTCCTGTGTCTATATTTAAAATTAAAAGGACAGAAACACTCTTATTGTGAAACATTTCCATGGATTTCCCTGCGTGGGCAGCACAGATCTCATGGATATGATTGAAATATGTCTCAAACTTGAAATTAGGCATGTATTCAAATTAATGTGAAGTGTGATGTCATCATGTAGAGATCTTTACAGCAGCTGAATCATATTTCACTGTTACATTGAGAGTAAAGGTTCAAATTAGCTTTAAATGTTTGACCTTTTTCATACTGAAAAATTCATATTCAGCTAATAGATGCTGATTATTAGTGAGCAGATCATTTTTAGAGTAAATGTAAATGTTGCTTCAATCATTTAAATGTCAGATATTAAAACATGTTACAGCACGAGTATAAACATGTTAGCTTCATTTAAATAAACATTCATTGACTTTTAATTCAACTGTCTGCATCAGCATCTTTACCTGATATTTAGTTTTACATCTTTGCTTTGCATTATGATCAGTCGATGAATCTCTGCCTTTCAACATACAGATGAGTTACAGCTCAAAGTCTGACACACACACACACACCTGAAATCTTCCTTAAAAGCTGGAATTTAGTAACACCATCAGTGACCAATGTCACAGATGGTGTTACAGGATGATTAACAAGAAGCAGACCCTAAACACCTGAACCCACAGAGACACACCTGACTCAGCTCTTCACTGACTCAAACCACAGAGTGAAATGGATCCATGAACATTTATAAAGACTTAAGAGCAGCGGTCTCCAACCTTTTTTGTGCCACGGACCGGTTTATGCCCGACAATATTTTCACGGACTGGCCTTTAAGGTGTCGCAAATAAATACAACAAAATAAACTAGTACCGGTACTGAAAAAAAAAGATTTATTCACCACACGTGAAAAGACCCAGGAAAACAGAGTTAATGATAAAAACAATAACAAAATAACGCTGAAAACCGATAAAAACCCTGAAAACAACACATTTCACTCCTGAGCCTCAACTCTCACGGCCCGGCACCAAACGACTCACGGACCGGTACCAGTCCGAGGCCCGGGGGTTGGGGACCGCTGAGTTAAAGAACAGCCTCACACAGATTTGTGGGTTTATTACTCAGATGTTTTATTGATATATGAAAATGTGAAACAGTTTGATAAACAAAGAATCATTATAGCAGTTTATGAACACACTGAGATCTCCTGACACTGAGTTCAGATAAAACTGATTTCAGTCTCATTGTTATATTTTGACTTTGTGGAGCTGTGGTGGGAGAGCGGCTGAAAGAAGCTTTGATTTTAATTCCATAGTCAAACTTTATTGACACCTATGATGACAGACAGAACAGGTGGAGTTCTATTATTAAAGCATGTCAGATGAACAGGTAACAGGAAGCAGACAGAAAAGAGGAATCAGATGTTCACTACAGGTGAACTCTCTGTACACACACATACAGCACAGTCTGATTATGAGCTCATTGTAGAACTATGTGAGCCAATCAGCTGCACTCGTTTCCTTTGACGAGGAAGAAGGTTCCAGCAGCCACACCGACCAGACCGAGAGTCAGACCCACTCCACAGAACACAGAGGGTCCAACACCTGGATCAGAGCGAGCGGACGCCTCCACCTCTGGAGACAAAGAGGAGAAACTGTGAACCACACACATCTGTCTCATCTGTACCTCTTTCAGTGGTCTCTGTTTAAGTTTTTCTCACCATAGAATTTGGTTGCTGGTTCAGTCAGGGCCAGATGTTCCACTTTACAGCTGTACACGTCTCCCTGCTGTGGGGTGAAGTCCAGTCTGGAGATCTGGGTGAAGGTCCCATCTTTGTTGATGTAGGGAACATTGATGCTGGATCCTTGTGTGACTTTCTCTTTGTTCTTAGTCCAGGAGACGTTGACAGGAGCAGGATAGAAACCAGTCACATAACAAATGAGATAGTTCTTCTCTCCAAACTCCACCTCATCTCTGGTGTAGATCATCACACCTGAAGGAGCATCTGTGCACAAACACATCAGGCAGAGGAGGATCAATTTAACACAAATATAAACATGTCAGGTGGAAGTTTCTGTACACATAGTCTGAATGTGGTTAATGTGGAATAATCTCATATATTTAATCTGTTTGAATCTTGCTGTGTTTGATTGAACAGAATATATCAATGCTGATGATGTCATCAGTGTCTTACTTAACAGAGCGTGCAGATAAACACAGGTGAGGTGAGACAGCTGTAAAAAGTTTTATTTACCACGTTCTAGAGGGAAGTCCTTCATGCCTTTACGACTGTTCTGCATGTTAGCTCTGCAGACCTGTAGATTAGCCACAGATGATTCATAAGTTCCTTCCTGGTAAGTCATAGGATCAATAAAAGGAGGCTGAGGGTAGATCATCTCCTGTTTGTTGAAGTCTGCGTAGGCAAGCTCTTCACCATCCAGTCCAAACATCAGCTCTCCATAAGAGTCTGAACAGCCAATGATTTTAATGTCACCGTGTTGACCTGAAACACATCAAACACTGATCAATAATCTCACCAATAACCTGGTGACAGTTTGCAGAGACAAACTCACCGTCAGCAGAGACACAGAGGACACAGGAGAGGAAGAGGAGCAGCTCCTTCATCTTCATCAGCAGCTCTCTGACAGTTAAACTGAGTGAGTGTGTGTGTGTCTGTGTGTGTGAACCTCACAGAGTGTGTGAGAGTCTGTGAGTGACTGAAAGTGCAGCTGAGCTCTAACACACAGCAGCCAATCACAGAGCTCACTCCCCATGATGTCATCAGTGTCCAGGCAGACAGCGGCTGAAGGAGAACACGGTATGATACAGACAGCTCTGATCGATAATCAATATTTATAGATTCTCCAAAATAAATTTCCTCTGATTGCTTTCCACTCTGAGGATTTTCAAAATAAAACAACCTTTATTTTAATAAAAATGATTCCGTTTGTTTACAAACACTGTGAAATATGAGTTGATGTCTTATTTAATTAGTTCCCAGTTTAAAACACACCTGAGTTCATGTGTGTTACTGTGGAGCTGAGAGTCACAGCTGTGTTTGTCAGCAAGAAACTCCGTAAAACTTTTACAAACACAAAAACTCCATCATATGTTGTAGAGGCATCCATCAGCCTGGATCGGAGTCTTTGCTTGGCTGATTCTGGCCCCGGGCCTTATGTTCAACACCTCTGATTTAACCTGATCAGCTTTCAGAGATTATCCAGAGATTATTGATCACAGGTACAGGATCAATAGTTAACATTTCAGAGGAGCAGCTGAGTTAGAGCTGAGGAGGAGTTTAAACTTTTTCCTCTGCTGATAATCAGCCAATCAGCTCTTTGCTGTCACACAGCTCACCTGTGCAGGTGAGTCAGTCCATCTCAGATCATTGTGGTTTTTCTACATCACTGATTTCATGAAAATGTGATGGTCATGTAAGATATATGTTTAAAGATAAGATACTTATTTAAACATGTAAGATATTTATGTTTTAAAGTGGTTGTCGACGTCCAGCATGTTTATTGTTCACACACTGACATGTTTGAGCATGAATATCTCACATGCTGTTAAAGATAAAAGCCTGAAACTTTCCTTCATCATTCTTAACATCTCAATGAACCAGGACCTGTAACATCAAACAATCTGTATGTTACAATAAAAAAAATCAAGCTGTCCTGTAAAGTCTCATGTTTGAAGACTCAAATGGCCCTCCAAAAACAAGAAAAAGAACTTAATACAAGTTATTTTTTGCTTGAAATAAGTGAAAAAATCTGCCAATGGAACAAGTGAAAATTCTCTTGACAAGATTTCTTGAAATAAGACAGTGAATCAAGCCTCACGAGATCTTGAAATTAGCTGGAAAAACTCATTCTTAGCTATATTTTACTAGTGTTGTGAAGCAGAGAGAGATAAAGACTCGAAAGGACTTGAAATTCAAAATTTCAGACTTGTGACTTTACTCGGACTTTTACACCAGTGACTTGAGACTCGACTCTGACTTGCCTGACATTACTTGAGACTTGACTTGAGACTTGAGGATAAAGACTTGAGACTTACTTGAGACTTGCAAAACAATGACTTGGTCCCACCTCTGCTAGTTACTAGGGAAAGTAACTTTGGTTTTACTCAGAATTCTCTTGTTAATGTGTTGCTTCTGTAACTGGATACCCAGCCAGAGTGCCAGTCTTCTAGCTTGCTTACTTGCCACAAGTGCACTGTGCCACCTACCAATAGAAAGGAAAAAATAATGTGCACATTTCCACGAGAGAAATCCCACGCCTGATTCTATCCTAGCCTGCTTTTTACATCCAACACAAAAACTGCAGTCGTGGTGCTTTCGATTGTACTCAGAACTCGGAAATTCTGCCTTCTGAATAGGAAGATGTAGGTAACACCAGACTGCAGATGAGCTGCATACAGGGCTGGACTGGGACAAAAAAATCGTCCCGGGCATTTTGACTAGAGACCGGCCCACCATTATAGGAAAAATCATAAAGCCTTTGAATGAAAATAAACACTGTTGTGACAGTGATGTACACTGTTCTGATGGTATATATGCATCAATCTATCAATCGTTTGTTGTAAGATTCAGATAATTATTTTTTAAAAGCTAGACATTTTAAATGAGAATAAGAAAGAAAAGTATTTCTTTGTGCCCCCTCTCCCTGTTAATGCCCTACATGCCCCTGGCAACACTTTGCTAGATCCGCACCTGCACAGTTACCAGCTGTCAGCTATTTAGAAAAGGATCCTGGTGTTATTTGTCTCTCAGAAACAGTTCATAACTTCCCTTCAACTCATTCATGTCACCTAAAAGGTAAACCTGTTTCTCCATCACCTGTTCAGCTCTGATGATTCAGTAAGGACATCTCCTGGTTTCATCTTCATGTTTCCCTCTCACCATATCCAAACCGATATCATGACCAGCAGCTTTACAGCTGTGGCTCCAGCAAACATCAGCTGATACTAGAAATTAATATTAAATAAATTCTAACAACAGCTGATCAAGCTTAAACGTGCTGCTGTTGTTTAGCGCGACATCCGCTGGTTTCCTCTTTCTGGCGCAAAGTGGGCGATAAACAAACAAGAGAGAAAAGCCGATCAGCTGATCATTGATCAGTTTCATGATTGAAGTAGAAACAGGAGAGGGAGGGTGAGAGGATGAGAGAAGAAGAGGCAGCTGTGCAGCGTAAACACAGAATAACTCCAGCTTTGTGTCTTTTTCATTGTAGCTGAAGTCCGGGACAAACTGTGTTCCTTTTCACCTCAATACGAAACGCGTAATATTTTCTCTGAATACGAGACGATTCCGTTTTTTACGGGACGGTTGGCAACTCTAATAATTAACCTTATGAACAAAATAAAGTTCAACATCAGTAACATAGCACCCACCCAGCTGTATAGAAACTCCGTCATGCTAGCTAGCACGCAGTACGAAAAAGTCAGCATAACGAAAATAAACTCCACCTAAACTTGGTTCATATCTGACCCAGATGGACTGCAGGTTATAACTTCTTACCTGAAGTTCAGTTCACCTGACACTCTCGGACCAGCGGCCACTTCGGGTCTCTCCTCTTGCCTCCCTTTTCCTTCATCCACCTGCTGCCTCCACCACTTGCTAATGTTATTGAATCTGTGGAAGCTCCGCGATAGCCACCACACGAAGTAACGAATAACGAGCCTATCTAAATCCCAGTAACGAGTAACGCGTTCCCGGTTTTGGCATAATAACTAGTTACCGTGCTCGTTACCACAATAATAACGTAGTTACTGTAACGCGTTACTTAATAACGCGTTAGTCCCAACACTGCTCCTAATACTTCCTTCCGTTTCTTAACAACTAAATGCCATGTTTTGATTGGTCGACATGGTACATTTTTCAAACAATGTGAAAGGGTGGGGGGTGTTTTGGTTTCATCTTTGTTCACAGGCTTTCGAGTGTTTTCCTTATAAAACAGTTTTTACCGTTTCTTCCCGCAGTAAATATAAACAACGATAGTATTCAGGAAGAAAACCAAACATTGCATATTTTATCATAACTCTGGTTTTACGTGGCCGATCAACACAATTTAAAAACTGGTATAAAGTCCACACTTTTCCGTCAGTTGTTCCGTCTGTCCTGCTCACATCTCCAATGGTTGTACACGTTGTCATTAACGTGGCTTCACTCCACATCAGCCGCTTTGCTAAAACACCGGTGTCGCACATAAGGACGCTGTCATAGCCTGTCAACGACGTTGATTATCTGCGCATATACGTGAATGTGAATCGCGTGC